GTTTCGTGGCCCCACAGGGAGCTCCACCGAAGGCCCCAGTGCTGCCGTCCGCATGCGTCCCGCACACCCATTTCGGCACACCCCTCACACGTTTCGTGGCCCCATAGGGAGCTCCACCGAAGGCCCCATGGCTGCCGTCCGCATGCGTCCCGCACACCCATTTCGGCACACCCCTCACACGTTTCGTGGCCCCACAGGGAGCTCCACCGAAGGCCCCAGTGCTGCCGTCCGCATGCGTCCCGCACACCCATTTCGGCACACCCCTCACACGTTTCGTGGCCCCATAGGGAGCTCCACCGAAGGCCCCATGGCTGCCGTCCGCATGCGTCCCGCACACCCATTTCGGCACACCCCTCACACGTTTCGTGGCCCCACAGGGAGCTCCACCGAAGGCCCCAGTGCTGCCGTCCGCATGCGTCCCGCACACCAGGTGTGTGGCGTGCCGACATGGGCGTCGCGGCGCGCGGGCGCTGCCGTCGGGGTTCCCAGGGAAGCCCCCTGCAGAGGCGACGCTCAGAGTCACGAGTACCGAGAGTCACGCAGACCCAAACTGTTCACAGTCGTATACATACATTTACACTGGGCGCATCCATGCACGCATTCATGCGAATAGAATCAATCGCGCGCAAATTCATTCATAATCAGACTCGCTCGCGATCCGACTCGCACGCGCTCAAGCTTTCATATTCGGACCTATCGTTTTCGTTCGTGTTGTGTACACTGCCACGCATTTCGGCACACCCCTCATACGGCTCGTGGCCCCATAGGGAGCGCCACCGAAGAAGATATTCACAATTGCGGTACTCTCAACTGCATATGGTTGGGTCCTTGGCCAGGCTAATTCTCCCTCCTGGGTATCGTGAGACTGGGTGCTCAGCGCATTTGCACTGCCGTGCCTGCCGTTTGGGCGCTCTGCGGGGAACTCTCGTGTGCCGCCTGGCCGCCCGCAGAAACTCCCGCGGCTGCGCTGCGCCGGGCGGCAGGACAGGGGGCCAGATGCGAACCCTACCCCGACCCTTAGGTCGGGCGTGTCCCCCTACATTGGGATTTTCGACGAAACATAAAAAATACACAAAAAATGCCCCCAAAAGGTAAAAACATACTCCAAAAATAGTCCCCGGACTATGTTTGGAGCATTTTTTGCTAATCTTGGGGGTAATTTATATTCCCAACCCTCCTGCGTTGGGTTCTCGTTTTGAATAGAGCACTGCTCGCGCGTCTCCTTCCTTCCCGCCCCCCCCCCGTCCCTCTCTTCCCCCCTGACTTCGCTCGTCGCTGCGTGCCAGCTGGGGGGCTGCGATCTGTGAAACTGTCGCCACTTTCAGGGCCTGCTGGGGGGCCCAGCACAGTGGGTACACACGGCGGATTGAAACTGCACCTCGCCATCCCTGGGGGGGTGCGATCTGTGAAACTGTCGCCACTTTCGAGGCCTGCTGGGGGGCCCAGCACAGTGAGTACACACGGCGGGTTAAAATTGTACCTCGCCATCCCTGGGGGCTGCGATCTGTGAAACTGTCGCCACTTTCGAAGCCTGCTGGGGGGCCCAGCACAGTGGGTACACACGGCGGATTGAAACTGGACCTCGCCATCCCTGGGGGGCTGCGATCTGTGAAACTGTCGCCACTTTCGAAGCCTGCTGGGGGGCCCGGCACAGTGGGTACACACCACGGATTGAAATTGTACCTCGCCATCCCTGGGGGGCTGCGATTTGTGAAACTGTCTCCACTTTCGAGGCCTGCTGGGGGGCCCGGCATAGTGGGTACACACGGCGGATTGAAATTGACCTCGCCATCCCTGGGGGCTGCGATCTGTGAAACTTTCGAGGCCTGCCCAGCACAGTGGGTACACACCGCGGATTGAAACATCCCGGGGGCTGCGATCTGTGAAACTGTCGCCACTTTCGAAGCTGGGGGGCCCAGCACAGTGGGTACACACCGCGGACTGAAATGACCTCGCCATCCCTGGGGGGCTGCGATCTGTGAAACTGTCGCCACTTTCGAGGCCTGCTGGGGGGCCCAGCACAGTGGTACACACCGCGGACTGAAATCAGACCTCGCCATCCCTGGGGGGCTGCGATCTGTGAAACTGTCGCCACTTTCGAGGCCTGCTGGGGGGCCCAACACAGTGGGTACCACGGCGGATTCAAATTTGACCTCGCCATCCCTGGGGGGCTGCGATCTGTGAACCTGCTGGGGGGGCCCAGCACAGTGGGCACACCTGGCGGATGGAAACTTGACCTCGCCATCCCTGGGGGGCTGCGATCTGTGAAACTGTCGCCGCCTTCGAGGCCTGCTGGGGGGCCCAGCACAGTGGGTACACACCGCGGACTGAAATCAGACCTCGCCATCCCTGGGGGGCTGCGATCTGTGAAACTGTCGTTACTTCCGAGGCCTGCTGGGGGGCCCATTACAGTGGGTACACACCGCGGACTCAAATTAGACCTCGCCATCCCTGGGGGGCTGCGATCTGCGAAACTGTCGTTACTTATGCTGGGGGGGCTCAACACAGTGGGTACCCACCGCGGACTGAAATTGTACCTCGCCATCCCTGGGGGGTTGCGATCTGC